AAAGAGCGAGAGTCAGCAAAAAGGCACAGCATGAGAGCGAAGAGAGAGTGAGCAGTCAAGGGCACAAAATTGAAGCTATAGCGAGCGCTACGCATAAGGATAAGAGGGCCAAGCACGCACATGGATAACAAAGCGTGAGGACGGTTTGCAAGGCTAGAGGAAGCACCTTCGAGCACAAGTACGAGATGGAGTTGATGTAATTATGGGAAGTTGGGTAAAATTCAACATGTTATCCAATAGATTCCTTTGCAAGTATGTATTAGGGTTTGCACTATATTTTTTTAATACTTATATGCCCTTTTAATAACTCAAACTTCCTTATTTTTAAGCATTTAGCATAAATCATTGGGGTATGTTCTAAGATAAGTAAATTAATAAATAATTTACCAAAAAGGAGCATGATATATTTTGCAATAAGAAAAAGAATTGTTTATTCCATCGGAAAACTTTTGGTTCACTCTTATCATAAGCCATATAAGATAGATATCAATTCAATGAACAAAATCAATAGCATAATTTTAAAAAACTAGTATGGATGGTTAAAGTTTGGGTTGTACAAAAGATGCATGTCTACAAATACAACTTCTTAAGTTGCACATGTGTTCTCTGTTAGAAAAGAGAGCGCCCTACAGCCTAGGGGCTAACAAGATGAATCGCAGTAACCGCAATAGAGATCAAGGGCTGCAAAAGAAATTAAGCACAACAAAAGAGAACACCAAAATTTTTGTATTTTGGCTTAAATAAGACTACATCCACGATTGCACAGAGATCAAATAATCCACTACACTTCATATAAAATTAAAGATATAAGCAAAGATATCACTTTGTCTAGCTCAACAAAAATAAAATCACCTACTAGAAAGATAATGGCCAAATATGGAGAAGTAGATGTTGTTATTGCTCCAATTACTCTTTTCTCTTGCCTATTGTAGGAGTCCAAATAAGACTTATACCTGGCTATAGCCAAGAGCATCTTCTCTTACTAGAAAGGCAAACCACAATAATTTCTTTGTTCTTAAAAATACCAAAGAATTCACCTTATAATCACCCAAAAATTTTACTTTTTTCTTAAATGACATCACTCCGCCCTCTCCTTCTTCTTCATCTCTATTACAACACAATCATCTTTTTATATAGAGCTCAAATATAGTATAAAGTATATTTGAATTCATGTAGCTTCTTTAGTAGTCATCATCTTGAAAAATAAAATGTGAATGAATTAATCTTAAGTTAGATAGTCATTGGCTTTAAAATCCAAATGTTAATTATGTAGCCATCATCTTTAAAAATCAAATATGAATGAATCTCAAGTTAGCAGCTATCAATCTTGAAAATGTAAGAACAAATCTTTTCAAAATAGTTAATAAAATTATATTAAATAGTTAATAATCTCCCACTTTAAGTCTGATTTTTTTATATCCTAGCATAATAAATATTTTTGAACACTTCTCCATGCAGCAGCACTATGTCATCAGTCGGAAAAGTTAATTGAGACTTCGCAATACCCAGTCTATTAATGACAAATTTGTCAAACTTTACCCTATTATTGTGTTGCTCTTTCATTCTGAATTTTGACAGATCATGCAATCCTTGTTTATCTTTAAAAGCTTTCATTTAATAAAAAATTTGTTTTGCATTACTATTGAAAAATCATCAACAATAAATTTCACCATAGCTCCCATTTTTCAAATAAATGATGGCAAAGACTAAGAACCATTCATGAGTCCAAGTGCTGCCAACATAATAGTTGAATCCAACAATAGCCCATAATTTTGCATTCTATAAGTCCAACAACTCTATTCACCTTCAAACAACCAACACACCCTTTCAGGCCTTAAGAGCAATGACATCAATAGAGAATCTACATCCTGCAACACTAACAGTGCTTCGAGATATTAGTTTCTTCTTCAAATATGGAACAAAACTAATACCAACCAATGAAACAGTTATACCACCATGTGCCTTTAACTTACGGTGTTAGAACCTCCAATCTCACACATAATTATGTTTCTCATATAAAACAGCCAGCAAAACTTGCCTTACATGTGAAAAACATGTCTAAATCAAAATAGTTTTTATCAAAATGAGCTAAGCTTAGAATCCACTGCTCTTTATACCTGTTGTTTTCAATCATTAAAAGAGCATCACCAATTTCATAACCAAAAAAAGATCTACAAGTGTACTTGCATCAGATAAGTTGGTAACTTACCCTTTAGTGATCAGCTTCTTGCTCTCTCTTCTTCAAAGTAAAACAGTTCTTTTTCAAGCAACATTTCTTCTTACAATAAAAGAAAATAATATATTTAGATTTATTTTGATATTTGCTCATGTCATGATTAAAAAAGAAGCATTCACTTATAATTTTAGGCATTTTGTTATGCTCTTGAATACTTTTACAAGTCCATGATGGAAAAGTGCAAGCATCTTAGTTTTCCAAAGACAGAAACTCTTTGAGCCATCTAACTTCTCAATCTCAAAATTCATGGTCATCATAATTTTTATAACCCATCTTTAATACAAGTTATTATAAAAGAGAGTGCCCACAACCGAGGGATAAGTATAATGAAGTACAATTGCAAAGGAGATTAAGCACCTCAAAAAATAACACCAAAATTTATATAATTTGACTTAAATAAGCCTATGTCCACATCTGCATAAAACTCAAATAATCCACTAAACTTCAAAAGAGAAAATTGAAGAATTATACTTCAGACAAAATTGAAACCATAGACAAAGATACCAATTTGTTTAAATGAGAGAAAATACAACACCTTCTATGAAGATGAGAGCTAGATGTGGGTGATGATATGTTGTGGTTGATATAGTTATTCTTCTCCTACCTATTGTAGGATTTCAAATAAGAATTATTTATTGTGGTCAATAGCGTGTTCTCTCACTTGAACCAAAAATAGCAACACTTCTTCATTCTTGAAAAAGTCAAAGAATTCCTTTTACGAGCACTAAAAAAAGTTCATTACTTTCTTTCTTAGATGACACCCCTATCCTTTCATCAACACAATGCAACCATCTCTATATATGATACTTAAATATGGTAGATAGAAAACTTGAATTTAATGCCGCTTAACTTTAGTACCCACCATTTTAAAAAATCGAGTGTGAATGAATTAAACTTCAGTTAGGTTAAAGAACATCTTGCAAAATCAAATATGAATTGAGTTATGTAACCACCATCTTTGAAAATCAAGAGTGAATGACCACCAATTTTAAAAAATCAAGATCAAATATTATCCAAAATAGCTAATAACAATAGAATCCACACTTAACATCCTTAACCTTCAACATTTGATCAGTATCATGTATTATATCTCTTTATTCATTTTATTCAAATATTTAATTCACAAATGACACTATTCTACCTTGACCTTAAAGTTTTGAACTTAATACCACATGTAAATGAGTGAAATTGGTTGTGTGGGGCAATGTAACAAAGATACAAAGTTGACAGAGATAGAAGTTATGCATAAAAACTTACATAGAATAAATTTAACATCTCAAACAACCTCAATACGAATGGATAAGGAATTAGGATTCACAAACCCCACCTAAAAAGTTGGCAAGAATAAACAGTGATGATGATTTCATAAATATGGAGCCTAGCATGTTAAACAACAAGACAAAGGCCCAATTAAATATTTAAATTTGGTGTAACTTAAAATTGAAAATGAGTAGTATGGCACGGCTAGTTGGCTACTAAAATGTCATAATAATTGATAAGTGTGCTTCGAAGTAAAGTATGCAGCAAAACTATGAAAATATAATGCAAAGCATTTAGCGATTGAAACATGCATGTAAGCAAATTGCCAAGTTTTCTCATGAATTTCTGAATAAATTCACTTTTTCCATCAATAAAGAACTTTTTTTTCCAATTAACAATGATATGGACATTCAGAAGATAATTCATCAATTGAGAATACAAATTTCTGGTAAAGTTAAAAGCAGACGATAAGTCTTCTTTATCCAAAATAATTCAACTATATTAAGAAGGCTGGTAAGGATCAATGGTAGGGTTACATGTTTATTGTCTATGAAAACCATAAATTTTAGTGTAAACATATATCATCAGAAGCTTTCACCATAACAAAATTACAAATATTTCTATAGACATTATGAATCAATTCCTTTTACTTCCATCAATAAAAATAATTTTTTTGAAAAAAAAATGATGTCAACATTCATAAGATAATTCATCAGTTGAGATTAATAAATTTAAAGAAGAATTCAGAATTTAAAAAAAAAAAGACCAATGATATATTTATAAGAAACCAATAAGAAAAAGATCACAAATCTTCATTATCCAATATATTTCTGCCATATTTTGAAGAAAGGAAATGATAAATGGAGGTATTACATATTTATTGTGAGTAAAAAACAACATTTATTCAGTTTATAATGTTTTCATGGAGATAAGTCTCTCCAATGAAACTGTGATGGGATGATGAGGGCAAAGAGCTGGTGGCAAAAGGAATTGCAACCATCCAAAGCTCGATCCATCAGGTGTCCCCATAAACTCACAAACCCAAGTTCCTTCTTCATGTTCTTCTTTTTTTTTTTTTCCTTTTCTTTTTCATTAAAGGTGGTGCGTTTTGGCAGGTTGGGGAGGTGGTGGATTTTGCATTTTCCCTGAGGAGATCCAAAGTCTTATCCCGTCCATATAGCTTCTAAAGAATCAAACTAATCTACAATTTTTTTTAACATGATGAGATTTTACTCCAAAGAATACCTATCTGAGGACTGTAATCCAACGATCATAGAAATGTCAATATGAAATTGGCAAACAAGTAGAAAATTTTTAAAGACGATCAATAAAAAAAAACCATGTTTTTATCATTAAAAAAAAAAGATTGCGTCTCTATCTTGTCAAAATAATCTAGATGTACATATATTTATATTGCAAAAAGTAAAGAACATGTACCTAGCTATGCACCAAACCCACCCATTTCAACCACAACTTGTCAATGTCATCTGTAAAGATAACTTACCCCACATAAGCAATCAGACAATAATGATTTCCTATCTACTATAGAACCAACTGCAGTTCCCTCCTTAAAGAGATCCGATAGCACAAGCAAGTAGAACGAAATGGCTGCTACAAGGATAGCATGAAATGTTGAAAAACCACTGCATGAAAGTTATTCAAACAATTATCGATCAATAAAATGCCAAAACAAGTATGCAGAAGAAGCTATATAATGAAAATAAACAAAGTACAAAGATAAGAATACGCACCGATTATTCCACTCAATTTTGGTTGGCTTACTAAGGCTATGATAACCCTTGAAAAATTCTCTACTAATGAGACCTGTGATTTCATATACCTGCAAAAGGAAACCATACTGCAAATTTTTAAGAAGAGGTGAAAAAATGCAAGCCTTGACTGTTAATTTGAAAATGAACCATTTGCCGCTTCCAAATTCTAAGATACGAATTCATCAAATCGAGAGCGGAGAAACTGTGGTGACTAAGTGGCAGTCCCCATCCCCCCTTTTGTTCTCATTAAATACGGCAATGCTAACGCGAGATTTCTTAGCCATTTTTCTAATTGATATGGCATCACGACGCACACTAGCAGCAACGTCCCAAAGAATAAGTCAATTAAAATCATAGTCTTTTGTTTTGTTCTAATTACTATGCGCAATAGAATCCAACAGGTAGACTGTGGTAACAGAAGGATACTTACGATTTTGCACATGAAGATGCCAGAAATAGACGAAACCGGCCATAGAATCTGCTCCGTGGAACCAAAATTTCCAACCATCTCTATTCAAGAAACTCCGACTCTGGCAACTGCAACTAGTGGGATTCTCATCAACCATAACAGGTTATAAGAAGCTCAACAAACTTTTCTTCTTTCAAATAACAATGAAAAGCTAAATAAATTATAAAACAAAAACAAAAAAAGAAGCTTCGCAAAAAATTTCGCTATGCCTGTCATTGCGAAATTGCTAATTTTTTTTCATCGACGAGCAAAGATGAATGCTCTGTGGAGAGAAATCTCAGAACGATGACAAAAGAAAAAGCACAGATGAAAGGCCAGAAGCCTAAATCCTACTATTGGCCCATTGAAGAGAACAAACCTTAGCGTGGAGCCGTGGATCGAAATTTATTTTCCGCGCTTTGAAACTCACTTTTTAGTCTTGGTTCTCTTCTACGCAAAGGACGAATCCAATGGAGCAAAACCGACGGTGGAGAAGAAGAAAACTTGCAAGGCGAGTAAAGATCTAGAAAGAGCGCGGGATGGAGAGATCGGAACCGTCGATTCAATCGAATCTCGAATCTCGAATCTCGATTAGAGAGGGGATGGCGGGTCGGCCACCAAGTCGTTTGGGATTCGAACGACTAACCAGTCGTTCCGCTACCGACGACTAATTATTATGTGCGGACTGGACATAGAGAACCGTGATATTTATTAAATAATTAAATATGTGTTATATTTTTGTAATTTAAAAAAAAAACATCAAAAGTGTAATAAAGATGTATTGATAATTGAATATTTATTATTTTTTATTTTTTTATTTTAATTTTGCAAAAAGTACAATAAAAGAGTTAAAAGCGTAAAAAATTCGGATTGTTCTCTCCATCAACGACTGGCAGGCGGGCTAGCACGGCTTCAAGCGCAGACAACAGGAAGTCACGGTTTTTCAACCAGGTTGACTTGGAACCATTCCGGTTTTTAAAACAGGTTGAATCTTTGAACCCAAACTTTAACCGTTTGCCAAACGGGTTGACCCTAACACGAAATTTTCGGGTCGGTTCGGGTCGTGCCAATTATTGACACCCACGTTTTGAAGAATAATTTTTTTTCAATTTAATTATATTGTTTTTTAAATAAAAAATCAATACCTTTTAACGTATGTTAATTTTAATTTTAACATGGCGAACACTTGACTCGCCGCTTATGTGGAAATAAGGCGCAGTGCACATTCGGCATGTAATGACTACTCAGTAGTTTGGCACATAAATGATTCGCTATGTCGTTCAGTTTTTGCACAATTCAACCACCAGCTTAGGGGTGTCAAAACAGGTTGACGGGCTGGATTCGAGCTGAACTCGAGTTGGCCCGGGTCTAAATTGGACAACTCAAACCTGACTCATTTTTTTACAAACATATGAAATATTTCAAGTTGCTTTCGATCCACACTAGTTACCAGTTGACCTAACCCGACCCGACCCACAGACCCATTTTGATTAAAAAACGGGCGAGTGCAACAGCAGACGATGGGGTGAGCAGTGAGGTCGAACACATATGGGAAGCCAACTTGAGTGGTTGAGCCATGAGGGCCGCAGCGTCCGACGTCGTGTCTATGTTTGGGAATCTGGCGACGATCACATTGGCCAAATCTAAGAGGTGCATAGTGGATGGAGCCATGGAGGGACGGAGTGATGAAGCAAATTGAGGCCATATGCAGACAAGGGGACCACTAAGGGGAAAAATTGGGTGAACTGGCATGCGATAAGGCATAAGGAGAACTGGACGACAGGCGAGGCGACTGCAATCAGGCAGTCACGACGAATTAGCAGGCGATATATAACATTGATACTGAATTTAAATAAAAAAACAAAAAACTAACTTTTGCAGGAAATTAATATGAAAATAGATGTTAAGATTAAGATATACCAACAATTACTGAACTGATGACGACGAGAATGGAGGTTGTGAGATATAGCTTATAGGCACGAACCGACGATGACAAAATTCGAGAGGAAATGAAGAAGGGCCAAAACCGGCCAAAACCCTAAGCGGACATTCAATAGCTCAAGAACGATGGAAGCTCAATAAAAAAAATTTTTTTGAAGCTCGACAGCTCGAGAATGATAGTCGAGAGAGAATCAGGGAATTAAGAATGACTAAATGAGTAAATGAACCAAACCAAGCGATCATGGGTTTATACGCATGGTTTAATTAAATACGGGTTGAAGTGGGTCATGGTCGGGTTCTCAGGTCAACCCAAACCTGACCATATTATTAAAATGGGTCAAGTTTTTAAATCCAAAACTGACTTGTTTGATAAATGGGGACCTAAACATGACCTTTTCCAAGTCGGACTCATGTTGGGTCAAGTTTGGACACCCCTACGGCTCCATGCACCCACCCTCATTTGCCGACTACAATCCATGCATCCATCATTGCCCTACAACTATAATGTGATGCCTCAAAATCTAAATTGGAATAAATATATTTTTATGTTTTAATATACAACAACAATAGCTACCTAATATATTTTATTAATTTAAATATCAGCAAAAATAAAATTAGCATTCAGTATCAATAAATACATATGCATTTATTTCTTCAAAATCATACATGATACTCAGGAATCATACAATACAATCAATCATTTCAGTCACAAGTATAAAAAAATAACTACATAAAAAAAGACTAATAGTAAACCTGAATAAATTTGATCAGTCTCACACTCCTGATCTTCTATCCTACTCTAACCTGAAATATATTAAACCATATATCATGAGCTAAATAACATAATAGGTCACTAAATCTTACAATTAAATTTAAACAATGTAAAGAATTAGTATGCATGTCTAATTAGTTTAATATCAATAACGATCATATAATCATGAATTAGTGGAAAAACAGTAAAACTCATATATAGTGGCAGTAGAGTTAATAAAAAGTAAAATAGTATGATACGAAAACCAGTAAAATATTATAGTATGAAATTCAGAAAACTAGTACAGGTGTCAAAACTATAAATCAGGTGTCGTATGAGTACTATTAGTCAATGACAATTAGTAAAGGATTCATGTAGATTGATAAAATTAAAGCATGTTATCCGATGAAATTCTATTCGAAATAAAAATACCTACTTCTATTAAAAAAATCATATAAAATTTAATAACTTATATTTTATTCGGTGAAATTCATAAATATTATAGTCAAAATTTTCAGAATAATCAGGAAAATATAATAAAATCAGTTACAGGGAGAATCAAATGGTTGAAATCAAAATATTTGAAAATAGAAGTAGGTTCATAGTCATGTATCACAATATGAACAAGTTTCACGAAAATAGTGAAGCGATCCTGCTAAAATCAAAAAAAAAAATTCTTTTATCTTTCCTTCTCTTCTTATTCCTCCTTCTTTGGAAAGGCACAACACTAAAATTCAGATTTTTCATTAAAAAAAATCAAAAAATTTAGGTTATCACATACGGTCTCTCTGAACATAATCATCGGCCGACTACAAGTCTACAATCAATTCGACCATTATCACCCATCTAATACTGTCCCTTCGACGACTGTTACCCACCGACTACGATCCCTTCAACCAATGTCGCTCGCCGACTATGATCTAGTTGACCAATGTCGCCCACTAACTACGATCAACCTAATCACTATCACTTGTGAACTATGGTCTGCCAACTACGGTCCCTCATACCACTATTGACAAACTACAATTCTTTCGACTTTTGTCGCCCGTCGAAACAATTCCTTTGGCCATCGTCACCTGTCTAAGATCCTATCAACTAATTGAAAGGGCCAAAACTCTCCTGAGGATAATTATTATGTCATTATATCTAGGGGTATCAATTCGGGTCAACGGGTCAGTTTCGAGTCGAACCCGGAATTGATCCAGTTATACTCGGGTCAACCCGAACCCGGCCCATTTTTAAAAATGGGCCATATTTTCGGACCCGACACGAATGACCCGAGGTTGACCCAAAATTACTAGTTTTTAGGTTAAAAATCGAGTCAATCTTTGATTTTCGGGTCAAAAACGGGTCAAGCTTGGGTTTTCGGGTCAAATACTAGTTTTCGTGTCAATTTCGGGTTGCTGTGTCAATCGGAACCCAACCCGATTTTTAAAATGGGTTGATTTGTTGAACCTGAACCCGACCCGTTTCAGGTCCAGGTTAATTCTAACCCGAATGTTTTAGGGTCGGGTCCGAGTCGTCTCAAAAATTGACACCCCTAATTATATCCTTCCAACTCCAACTATGAATTATGTTTTATATGATGTATATATGTTATATTGAGCCAACACCTTCATCGGAGAAAGAACATCACTTATAATCAACAGTAAACACTTGTGGATTCTTTTCAACTGGGTGATGCCTCATTATTTTTTCCTCTTTTTTACGGGTTTCCATGTAAAACTCTCATGCCTCTTCTGAATACTACACCACTCTCTCTTATTTATTTGTATGTTGGATCTTCTTTTAAAGCTAATATATTAAGCTTTTTATATCTTTACCGCCATGAATATTCCAGCCTAGAACAATTACAAAGTTCAATCTTATATGAGGTTATTTTAGATGGAATGTATTATGATCTTCCCCCTTAGTCAATTAGCAACCTTTAAGACATAAGTCACAAATTTAATACTAACAATGTGAGATTTGCACATGTATACGATTTAATAATATATTTATGGCACTAATTTAGCTCTCATAAAAAAATGTATTATTTGCTATTTTAAATAAGAGAAATCAAACTTAAACTTTTTAATATGATTTGGCTTCATTAGAGTTTCATAGAGCAATGGTACGACATCTCTGTTATAATGTTTGCAACTGTCAGCATCTAATAAAATAGTTTATTGCTTGTTAAAAGTTGGATATCCATTTTACTTATGCAAAAGAAATATATATAAAAGTTTACTCAATAATAAATATATCATACATATGTAAAGATTACATGCTTGAGATTTGGACTCTTCAAAGGCAATTAGTCAATGAGATTCATGATCACTGCAAGTCACTCTACAAACATTTTTATTAATGGGCAATTAGTAAATTAGCTAAGTTCTTCGTTTAGCAAGTTATGATCATGGGCACTTTCTGAATTTCATTTGGGACAGCTTTTGTACTGATTTTTTAAATGGCTTTTTATTAAAAAAAATTTAGATTTAAGAAATTTTTGCAAGAAAGTTAATTTAAAAAACAAGAAGATAGTCGTTCCAAATGAAACCTTAATCAATGTGCAACTACAAAATTAGAGTCTTTATTTAGCACTAATTGTGTGATATTTTATTTCTCAATGTTTTGAAGCTCTTATCTAAATAGTACATGCTCAACCTAGGGTGGTTTGTAGATTATAAGTCCCATGAATTTTGAAAAAATAAAATAATTATCATAAAATTTTATAAAAGTAAATAAAATTTTAATAAATATAATAATTTTTATGATATTCCTTTTATTTTATAATACAACAAATAGTGGAGATCATTATTCAAAATTTAAGTAAATAAGATTTATCTCAAAATTCAACCAATGAAAA